AGCAACAACACACACGAGAAGCATAAGAGGTCCAAAGAACGAGAGAGCGATGATGCTGTTGTCAGTGTCCTTCCCAGAAATGACACCTGTAGGGCTGTTGGTATTTTCCACTTTACTGTCAGTTAAGTCATTCCCCGTGTTGTGGTCATCTTGTCCATTTTCAATATTAGTTGTGTCGTTGTTATCAGGGGATTCTGGATTTGATAAACCTCCCTCTTTCGATGGAATTTCAGCATTCTGTGTATCCTCTTCTTGCGATGGTTTTTCTTGAGGATTCGAACCCTCGGTTTGAGGTGCCTTCTCGGTTTCTGATGAATCATTTTTCTCTGGCGAATCCACGTTTGGTGATGGAATTTCACTTGCGTTAGAATTGTCGTTGTTTTTTTCGTCATACTCAATGGTGGGAAGATCGGTTTCATTCAACCCTGTGCACACCTCAGAATATTTTGGGCAAACAATACTCCCACCATTAAACGCTGAACCCTCCAGTGTAATTTTATCACCATCCTTCTCGCACTCAATCCAATCATTAGGACCTTCCTTGCCCTTGTATTGCACACTCACCTTGTCATTCTCACACTTTACCTTTGCACAAATGCCCTTTACGGTCACTTCATTCTTAGTACCATATGTAAGCTTCGTTCCCTCCACATTCAGACACCGTGACATATTGCTCACAATGCTTCCAGGCATCAGTTCAACATTACCACTCTCACATGTGGTTTCCTTTAATGGTTTGATGATGGGGCAGCCATTCGTCATCTCATCCTTTCCAGCAGAAGCAATTTTGTCAAAGTAGTGGTACACGGTAGACAGGGTATCAGGTACAGGAGTGGAGGAACACATTCCAAGGGCGAAACGGTCAGACGTGCACTGCAAGACCGGTCCGTTTTTGTCGCAGAACATGCTGGTTTGCTTCATTAGTTCTTCCCTGCTCCCTGTACATGTATTATGAAGTAAATCACATCCAGTTTGTTTCCCCCAGCTCATCGGTTCTGCCATGTTGAAGTTCGCGCTGTAGAAGGGCATGGAATGGAATGCTGCAAGTGTCAGATTAGTGTAGAACATGCCAGAGGGTTCTCCCGTGTATGGACTCATCAATTCATCCTTCGCAATCCTTCGCTCCCAGTGCAACTTGTATTCACCGTTATTCTCATCCTCCATGTACATGCCGGTGATGTGTTGCAACGTACAGCCGTAATGTTTTCTCATCATCTCCTGCATTATTTCAGAATCCACGGCCGTGACCTTTCCTATTGCTCCCACTGTTCCAGATTTAATCTTTTTAAGTTTCCTCATACGGCCCACGTCAAACCCAAGTCCATGTGCAATCTCATGCGCTGCTGTGCGGACAAAGTGTCTCGTGTCCACAATGTCTTTCGGTACAAATTTAATCAGTGCAGAAGTTGGCCGATTGTCTTCTTCAGTATATACTCTTGTTGACGTTTTAGATGCGTCAAGACACACAAAAAGCACAAAATCAGCATTGGGGAAATTTTTTTTGTGATTCTTAGGCGTTTTGACCCCGCATTCTCTCATAATGTTATTTACGTCGTTTTCAGAGAGCACAACTCCACCCGTTTTCCGTTCAATACTGAGACGATCTGTATGCAACTTGATCGCGGCGGGTAAGAGTTTCTTCAGTAAGAGGTCCTTCTTTGTATCGTTTATCCCGGTCTCTTTATCACAGAACACTTTTTCCTTAGTATTCCAAGGAACCGTCTTGTTAAACTGTTCGGCCCAGGCTCGCTTTCTGTCACAGTTCTTCAACACCTCATCCAAGCCTTCTGCGGATACTTCGATGTGTATGGGCTTCCAGTTTTTCCCACTCTTCTCAAGGTCAGCAACAGTGTACGCATGCAAAGCACTCTCACCTCGTTGTGGTAAGTGCTGTACAACAGCNATTCTTTATTGTCATCATAATCGTTCCATTCAGCGTGTGGTATTGTTCGTGTACTGCTTTTCTTTTTTCTTTTTTCACACCAATGACTCCAGTGAAGTCCGTTATTCTTTATTCCATTCATCACTATTCCCTACCTCTCTCCACATTTGCTTTGCAGTTACAATCCTCCTCATAGCTGTTACCAATGTTATCGTCACATCAACATTTACAACAAGCAGTAG